ATGACCTTTTACAATCTCTAATCTTCGAGTACCCATGACAGAGATCATAGACCGCACCATCACCTCGGTAGGGACTTTTACTTGTGCTCTCTGGCAGTCGGGCTGGTTCTTCTGACAAATTTTCGTCTGGCCATCGGAAATTCTACCGCAGTCTCATCAGAGAAACAAACCTGCAGATAAAAAGAATAATGAAAAGTTACGAAATGCCTTGAACATTGAAAAAAAACTATTGAACTTTTTTTTGATCTCGCATTTGAATCAAACCTATTTTTTCCATGTATGCATATGTATTTCACTAAATTGTGCTTGAATCACATAGAACCGTAGTCAAAATGAATATTTAAGTGAGATTTACCTAATTCTTGCGAGTCTTTGCCAGTCGTTTCTTCCTCTTGGTTACGGTTAGCTTGGCTCCTTATATGTCCTGCATGCACGGTGTCCCATCTCATTTAACTTTTTTTTTCTTACTGTGAAGGGCTTACACTTGACGCAGTAGTTCTTCCATTCATAGTTATCCAAATTATCAAGTTTTCTTTTCACTTTCGCAACTGAAGTTTTGCAAACACCCGCTTTCTTGGATATTTCCCGTTGGCTTAGAGACGTTTCTTGGAAATAAACTTGCATAGCAGAAAAATCCGCCCGACTCGGATCCTTTCCTCCACCCGTGGTGCTTCACTAGGCAGTCTTGATTTAATTTGCACAGTAGAAGGGCTAGGTTCAGTCAGTGGTGGCAGTGCATGCATTTGCACGAATTATAAGTGCAAATGTGAGAAAATAGGGATTGCAAGCAAAACCTCCAAACTCCCGGAAATTGGCCTGTTTTCACTTTTTTTTTAGCTAATTTAGTAAAATTAGAATACTGCAGAGAATAATCTACCCACAACGAATAGCCTGATACTTTTCATCATTGTATATACTGAACAGAACCCAAAGGGAGATGAAAAATAATTATATCAGTACTGTATATGTTCTCACACACACACACACACACACACACACACACACACACACACACACACACACACACACACACACACACACACACACACACACACACACTAGGCTATAGGTTATAGGCTATAGGTTACAGGCTACACACATGTGTATGTATTTGTGGTTATGTATATATGTATATATAGTTATATATATACATATATGATGTAAGTATGTCCTGGATGCCATCCTTCAGCGATACCTGCTGCCAATATGTAGAAACTTCGGGCGTTTGTGAAATCCAGTCCCTCTTCATGGGAAGTCAGATTAGATTCCTGAGTCAGAATTTATGAGTTCGGGAGAAGTGAGGCGACGTGGCGGGCCCTGTGCAGCAGTTAATAGCCGTACAAGTTTTAGCCTCTATCGCGTGGTTACACAGAGGCGGGGTTCCCTCGTGCGCGGACAAAAATTATCCCTGTGTGGGAGGAGTCTTATCTTGTCATTTTCCTTTGCCGTCGACCGTGGATCATTATATTTAGCGGGCAGAGAGGACGGCTGAGAGGGGAAAGGAAAGGGAGAGGGGAGGAAGCAGAGTAACGATGGGGTAAGAGAGAGGGGTAGTGAAAGAGACAAGCAGACAGACAGGCCGGGACAATAAAAGAAAGAAATAAAGAAAGAAATCAAGAGAAGCAGATACTAGACTGTTAACTTTCGACCACCGACAGCGCTTACCGAAGCATCTGCTCGAGTGAGTCAATTGCAAAAACTAGCAGCTTTTTGCATTCAAAAAGCGTCCGTAGGACATTGATCTCCAGCTCATGTTTACCACCAGCCGCTGTTGATAAGGTTAGTCCAACGGATCGTGCCTTTTTTATTTGTCTTATTTCTTTTCCTCAGGCTCTGACGCAATATCACTTTATGTCTCCTTTACATGCGCTCGCCAGTGTAGCTCAGCTTTGTAGCTTATTGCCCGGGAATATTACCTCGCCCGATTTTTTTATTGCGACATTAAAACGCGCCGTCTTCCCGCCATCTCGCCCAAGCTGTCACAGTCAAACGCCAGAGTTTTGCCAGCCCCGCTCTGATGCTGCGCCGGCCAGTGACAACCGCGCCGAAGTGCTTTCATGACCAAAAGCGCGTTGCGTGATAGGAAGTGGGAACGCCTGGGCAGTTCGTGGGCCGGGTGGGGGATCGAGGTGGGGGGAGGCGGGGAAATCGAGGTGATCAACAAGGTTCTATCGATACTGTCGTGAAAGTGGAATATTCCCCCGTAATGATGCTGGTGGCCCAATTCATCGCCCCCCCCCCCTATCTCCCTTTGCACAGCGCAACTTTGCGTTATACGCAGCTTGCTCTGACTTCTCTTGTGTTACGAGTAACACAATCGACTTTAGTCGATGCATCACTGATGGCTGATGTCAGGATAGCTATAAGATGATATGCGTGTGTGTGTATATGTATGCATGTATGTATATGTGTGTTCTATACATATATATATATATATATACATATATATATATATATATATATATATATATATATATATATATATATATACATATATATA